CCCCAAAACCCCAAAACCCCAAAACCCCAAAACCCCTTAAGTTATCCATTAATTGAAAATGTTAGGGAAGTTATGTACAAGACAGGGGATTGGAATAGTGGGGAATAGGATTTTAGGGTCGAATTTGGTGGTGAGGGTGCCGGTTAGGTTTAGGCATTCGATGACGAATTTGTATGAGTCGCTGGGTGTGAAGAGGAAAGCGACTCAGGAAGAGATTGAGGAAGCTTATAATGCGCTGAAAGCTGTCTTTACTGAAGGGGAGATAGACTCAATGGCTGATGCGAGTAAGTTTGGATAGGTTTGTTATACTATATGTGAAAATGAAATCTTGGAGTATCGTCTATCAAGGAAATATGCTTATGATCGAAATATAGTGATGGCTGATGCCAAAATGGCTTATGAATGTCTTTCAAACCCAGAGAAGAGAGCTGAATATGATGAGTATCTCACTTCTCATCTTAAAATGTCCAGCTATCAACGTAGATTTGAAGGAGATTTCTCTGAATCAGACACTGAAGAGGAGGAGAAATTCAGGAATAGAGGAAAAGACAGAGCCAAGAGGAGATTTGAGGAGCAAGATGAATTCTTTAATAACAATTTCATGCATAAAAATCAATCTAGTAGGAGACATCAACCAGATGATGATTTTAAGGATGCTAAAAAGTTCTCATCAAAGGGAGAGGATATCAAAGTCGAGATTACTATTGATTTCCAAGAATCTGTTAGAGGAGTTGCTAAAGGCATCATGATTGATAGGCAAATCAAATGTCCAACTTGTAAGGGATCAAGAGCAGCTAATCCTGATGAAATTTCTACTTGATACAGTTGTAAAGGCAAGGGACTCAAGAAGGACCAACTCTTTGGGAATTTAGTGAAGTGTAATACATGAGACGGCCATGGAAAAATTCCAATAAAGAGGTGAGGAACTTGTGATGGAACAGGCCTTGTCAGTCAAGGAATCGGAGAAAATATTTCTATTCCTCCTCTTACTGAACATGAAAATTATCTCAAGTTAGGAAATCTTGGGCATGTCTCTGCATATGAAAGTGGAGAGCCAGGGGATTTACTTGTGAAGATTGATATTTACAATAATGGACACTATATCAGAGATGGATTCGATATTTACTCATTATTGCCGGTTACAATGTCAGATGCTCTCCTTGGAACATATTTGGAAGTCACAACAATAGATGGGAACAAAGAAAAAGTAGCTATTCAGAGTGGTACAATGCATAAACAGTTAATCAAAATCCCTCATAAAGGCTTGTATGACCAGAAAGCTGAAAAATACGGTGATCATTACGCAAAAGTTTATCTCCAAATCCCAGAAAAAGTATCTCAAGAAGTAAAAGACCTTATCAAACAGTCATTCTAATAATTTCAACCAATCACCTTCCAAAGGGGTTTTGGGGTTTTGGGGTTTTGGGGTTTTGGGG